ATTCAACTTACATTGTTATTAATATTCGATGCTTTCCTCAATACAATGAGATTTAACAGAGAGATACAATGCAAAAATAAAAGAAAAGGCTGTCACCTCAACTAACTTGCAGACAAATGGATTCTCCTGATAAGTCCTAAAAATATTGTAAGGTTCATTTTCATTTTCTTAAATTACCTTCCTTATGAAACATGAGAAGAGTAATTCTAAAGTGGGATATATTATAGTTCAGGAAATATCAAGGCATATGTATAAACAAATATCTTGAAACAATTTTTAAACAATTGGATCCTAGGCAATATTTAATAACTTTGAATAAAATCTGCAAATAGCTGCATGTGTCTATAAAAGCAGACACAGTTTTACATGTATAAGTAATCAAGCAAGGTCAACTGTAAAATGTTAGAAAGTTGCAGCCTTTTTATTTAGTACCCAGAGAATGTCAGTAATTTAACATTATATTGTGATAAATGTTGCTCACAGAGTTTTAACAAGAACAAAAATAAATATAATTTCTATGTCGTCTTTGGCATGTTTTAAATTCAAAATGATAGCCATTTCTTTAGCAGCACCGTGAGGGAAAGAAACACTGTAAAATGCACTACTGCATTTGATTTTACACGAAAAAAAGTACATTGAAAACCGTAATGTGAAAAGAAATAGTGCTTTAAAGAAAACCTGTATAAAAGAAATGATAGTATAAACTCCATAATGTAGTCAGAAAAAGAAAATACAGTTATCTGAACAACGGGAACCCCTTTGTTCTAAAACTTGCAACTTTTAAAGTACATGTTTTTAAGTACACACAATTTCAGTTTAACACACACAATTCAATTTCTGCCTTGAGAAGTGCAATAAAATGCCAATAAACATATTTTCTATACCAGAAAATAAGTTTAGGAATCCTGAAGTATATGGAAAGTGTAGGCAAGACATTTTTTATAGTAACTATAATCTCAAACTTTGTTCTCTCTGCATAAACCCTACATAACTCACAACTACCAATAATACTTATTTTTTATAAAAAAAAAACCAAATACAGAAAAACCATATTCTTTTTTGTACTATGGAATTTAATACAAAATAAATTCTCATTTACAAACCATGCTGGCAAGTTTTCTTGTATAACTTTTAAAACGGATGGTGGTTGTTTTTGCTAGAATGATTTTGTGAAGTTAAAAAAATATTGTACTAAAAAACAAACTTACAGTTTTTTGCTTTTAGTGGCATCAATTTCAGAGAGAGTGGATATAAAAAGAGAACTCAAATATGACCTGAGTAATATTAATTTGATAGGAAAGAAAAAAAGCAAATAAATCTGATTAGTCACATTATGGAAATTTATTAATAAACTAATGCACTTAGTACATTCTCTAAAACTGTTCTACATAAAATTAGATGTTTAATAAATACCTTTTGAAGAGTAAATTAGTTCACATAATTAGATAAATAGTATGAAAGCTAAACAGCCATCCAAAGAAGGCTCTATTGTCCAAGGTTTAGAAATATGAATATAGAACAAATCTTAACTTGCCAATCACATATATATTTATTTCTGAGCATTTACCTAAGATTTCTTGCTGATCAATAAAAAGGTACATAATTTGTAGAATATATATAAACAAATTTGAATTTCTATATCCTAAAAATACTTTCCCTTTGTATTTTTCTTTCATACCTTCAAGTATTAGCAACCAAACTGAATTTTAGATGATCAAGCATTATCAGTTATTCAAATGATATGATGGATTTCACTATATTGTAAGAATAAAACCAGGAACAGTGCATTCAGGAGTATAATGTCTTTGTGAATAACCACTATCAATTCCACTGCACTCTTGCATAGGAAGGCAGATAGCAGACTTACTGAATTCTTCTGTTAATTTCAGCTATTATTTATATTGAGATATACACCAAAAATACCTAAATAAGCTTCAACATATAAGAAATTTTTCTAAAGGAGTTTAATTGCAGTTGACTAAATATGGCTTACATTCTTGTTGAGAAGTAATGTTGAGGATCTCTGTGTCCTGAAATGCAGGCAAAGGATCTGCACACTTAAACTCCACTGATAGTTTCCATTCAACTTTTCTGTACTCTTGTTTATCGATACAATAGGAATAGAGGCTAGGGTAGCTGGAGATTCCTTATGTTATAGGCTATGTAATATGTGAAATAAGAGTACAAATAAATATGCACTTAACAACTGTCTCCCTCCACACCATTCTGTCATATAAGTTCATTGTAATTAAAAAGCTTAGAAGTTTCTTGGAGGGGAAAAAGTATATTGAGAAGTAGAAAGGGTGAAATAGAAAAGAAACAGTTTATGGGATAATCTGATCCTGGGCATACTGTGTAAATTCCTTGCCTAGAAATAGCTTCCCTTATAATAATAATAAACAATTATTCTTATCTGGTTAGATGGCCTAAAAGTCCATCAATTAGAAATTGATTAATGGAAATTTTCCTTGAAAAATGCCAATTATTTATTAGCCACTAACAGAAAAAAAAAGAATTAATTTAAATGAGATCACTCTCACCCTTTTAGTTGAATATAGCTGCTTTGTGAGAATGAAAGTCCTGATTTAGGGAAGACGAAGGGTATGAGGTGCTTTTGGGGCACAGAATCCTTCTGGAGGAAGCTTTAATTATGGAGTCCTCTATGAGGTACTCAAGTAGGATAGCACGTGGGACTAGAAAGCCAGGAGAAAGAGAATACATAGAATGCCACAGACATTCTTTGCCTAATTTAAAACCCAAGCTTTCTGGTTGATCTTAAGGCCAAGTTAGGCAGTTCTTTTCCTTTTCATAAACAAAGGGTCTCATACTGTCAGGAAAATACTATTCAATCAGTATGAGTAGCTTTCCGTGAGCAGTACTATCTTAACATAATGTTTCAATAAGGAGACACTCTAAATACCAAACATCTGTTCTTAAGTTTGTGGGTTGCCTATACATGAGAAATCCCTTTGAGTTAGCCAGAGGTTCTATCAAATGTGTATGTGTAATTACCAATGGCAATAAATTACAAAAATTAAAGTTTAGGCATTTCCAGGTCTAAAAAAATAGCCTCAAGTTTGATTTTCATGAAATAACTGAAACCATTATTCCCCAGAAAATTACTACCACTGCATTTAAATTATCTTACTAAAGGTTTCCTGAGTTTATTCATGATAATATATGCTTTAGGATAATAAATTATTAGTCTACTTGGGAAACCTGGTGTTTTCCCTCTGAGGAAAAAAAATACAATATCCTCTCCCTTCCAGAACGATAAAAACTCCAAATTGTGCTATCATTAAATACTAGCAAGAACCATCAACTAGAAAGAAAAGAAAAGCAATGTAAATTAATTGTTCATGAATCCATTAGAAACCACAATATTCTAAAATTTTATAGAACGGATTTGTTTTTACTGGTTAAGCCCCTCCAAAAAAAGCTCCTCTTCACATCTACATTTTTTCTCTAGACAAAATGGACATGATTAGGCATCCCTACCTGGTTTCCTTCTATAAAATAAGAGTATGTAGTTTGAAGATTTCCCTTATAATAAAGTTGTCCTTACTAATGTTTTTAGCCTACTTTATATGAACTTTCCGGCAGAAATGGTTTACACAATTATTGGGAAAATCCACTAGCATATCTGTATTTTTTATCATTTGTCAGTCCTGAGCAATGAAAAATCATGCTATTCATTGTTTAATTCTAATTGTGCTCCCTTCATTAAAGGACTGTATACTATTACTCTTCTGAGCAACCTCACTGAAAAATTAATAAAGATCAGCCACTTAAAAATATATTGATTATGGAAAGATTGCAAGTTACTTTGTGAGATTTTACACTTTCCAATTCCACTTTTCCTAATGGTATTAATAGAAAAGCATACATGGAAATAGTGTATCTGTTCTGAAAAGTTCATACCAAAATCATACCCTGCTTTGTCATATTAATTGTGATAAGAAGTCATAACAGCACAAACAAGATGACAAGAGGAAAGTAAGTCAGAATATATGGACACAGATTGTTACATGCAAGTACTTCTAGTAATAAAGCAAAATGAGGAAGGAAAAGGCCAAATTGGGAAATAAAAATCCACAAGATATGATATTGGTCTATTTCTAAGTAATGTTTTCCATGTGGCATTAGATTTTTTAATGTCTTTCAATTATTGCAAAAAGACATCTCAAATTAATGGTATATACTTTTATACATTACATCCAATAGACAGATTTGGTATGTAGAATACATATCACTTACATTATAAAGAGAATACATATAGTTTCCTTTATTGAATACCAAAGTTACAAGTCTTCTAGCCTAAATTGTATACTTCAGTGCTCAGTAATCAACTTTCTCTCTGAATTAAGCAAAATAAAATACACAGTATACAGTACACTTAGCACGTAACAAGTAGTTCACTTATATTCACTAAACAAAACTATAACATCCTCCAGTTTACATTCATGAGTTCTTTCTGTTAGTAGTAGTAGTAGTAGTAGTACTAGTACTAGTAGTAACGGTATTTTCTTCAACAACATGAAAAGATTTTTTAAAATTCCACCATTTAGAGAAAACGATATATGTTATCTAGTGGTTCTGAGTAAGTTTAATAAGACCAATTTTGTCAGATCTTTTTTATAAATATGATTAAAAATGTGTTCATATTTTGTGTAAATCATTAATATTACTTCCTTTTCAAATTTTATCTTTGTAGCATTGTCTAAAGTTAACTGAAATGCATTATACTGTATCATGTATGCTAAGCCCACAAGTCCATTACAATAAAATTTAAACTATATTACCATAGGATTCCAGGTAAACTAATATGCTATACTGTAATTCAATTTTGTAAGTACAAAAAAAAAACACAACAGTGTAGTTCATTATAAAAGGGACAGGTAATGGTTAAATCCAATTGATTAACTTGAAATTCAGCTTATTCAGCTTATTCATATCATGAACGTAGTGGCAACACATGTACTTTATTTTCAAAGGCTTAACTATAACCTATTTAGTAGATTACAAGACCAATATAAAGCCTTTGGCTAAAAAATTCCTCACTTGTACTGCAATTCAATTAGATGTAAAATTTACAGAGGACTTGTGGAAACCTTTATTTCTAGATGAGGGCATGTATGGATAATACATATATCTGTTTGCACACATAATTTGTGATTTAAATCTTCTGTAAAAACTTTGGCACCAACCATATGAGGAGTTCACATATTAGCACAAATGAATGTAACCTCTTGGTTGTACATGATAACAAGCTTCTACAATACATTTTTTGTTCCTTTTTCCTTTTTAAAAAGTCTGTTCTTCAGGATCTGATGTTCAAAAATATTGGCATTGGTTGGCATTACACTATTATATTTGCATCCTGATAATTGATAATGATTCCCTAAATCATTATTTTATGAGACCAGAAAAACTATTAAGAATTTTTTTTGAAAGGAACTTTACAAGTTAGTGTGCAGAGAAATTGTTAGGACCTTGTAGACACCAATTATATACTTAAACACTTAGTCACTACTGCAAAACAACATTGTTTGAATACTGTTGGCCTGTGGGGTTTTTTTTTTTAATCTCATCTCCCTAAAAAAAGGAGGTTTAAACAGAATATTCAAGTGATATAGCAGAATATGATGCCTTTGATTTAAGATTAGGCAAAAAGCCACACATTTAATTTTTCTTCATCCAGTATGGCTGAGAAACACTAGAAATCTTACAGGCCAGTTGATGTACGTTTTTTCATGCTCCGTCGCTGAGCTAAATTTGAAGCAGCAACAGGCTCAAGGACTGGTTGAAAGGTCTTATGAGTCAGGGCAGAATATGTGGTGACTACTGCTCCCTAAAATAAGGAGAAATAAGAGAAATTGAATAACAATCTCTGGAGGTAAAAAAATTACACCTTATATCATTAGAGATTTCAGTAGAATACAACCTTATTTCTGAGGAAAATAATTGCGTATACTTGATCTATGCATTGATGTTCCCTTCATGAATTAATACCTGTTTACTTGTATATTTTTTCATTTCAATGACTATGACTACTACAAATTTTTAAAATATTTAAATGAATTCTTTTTATCAGTCTTTCATCACTGATATATTTGTTTTAAATATTTTAATAATTTAATTTTTAATATAAGTTGTATATATTTAAGACATAGAACATATCTTGATGTACATATGCATAGTACAGTGATTACTATAGTCAAACTAACATATCTTCTCCTTACATAGTTATCATTTTTTTGTGATGAAAGCATGTGAAATCTACTCTTAGCAAATTTCCAATATTAAAGCAGTAGTTGATAATAATGCATATTAGATATCTAGATTTATTCATTCTATATAATTACACCTTTGTACTTTGATGAATGTATCCTCAATTTCCCCTCTTCCCTGCCCCTGGTAGCAACCTTTCTACTCTCTGCTTTTATATATTTGACTTTTAAAAAATTCCACATATTAGAGAGCTTGTGTATTCTTTTTCTTTCTGTGTCTGGCTTATGCATTTAGCATAATGTCTTCAAGGTTTATCCATATTGAAAATGGTAGGATCTCCTTTTTTAAAGCTGCAAAATATCCCATTGTATACATGTACATCACTATTCATTTATCCTCAAAGAATCTCCATGCTCCCATATTCAGTACAGCATTATTCACAATAGCTAAGACATGGAAACAACCTAAGTATCCATCAACAGATGAATACATAAAAAACTAAAATCTTAAATCTAGGTTCACTGTCTGTAAATATGGGAGTTTGCACCGTGGTTATTAATTTAGGAACCAATAGCAACATTTTCTTTCCATATGAAACTTGCATTTAATACACTTCTAGCCCCAGTGTCTCAAAAGTAAGTCAAATACAAATAATTTTTATTAATCATCAGAAAGGTAATAGGTAGAGAAGATTAATAAGAATCCATGTTTTTTTATTTAAAAGAAGCAATAATAAAACCAAAAACAATCTATAAATACACCTTTAAAAGATAAAGGTATTTAAGATCATCATATGTGTTGTCAGTGAATAGTATACAGGCTTTATCAGGAATTCAGGAGGTGCATAAAAGATATGTTTGTTTTACCTTAATGACATGTGACATATCATTTCTATTTGGCTGATCATTCAGCAACTGGTCTCTGTGGGTTATCCATGAGTGTTTTAATACTTGTTCTGTAGTGTAACGCTGATGTGGGTCCATATGTAGCATATGGGACAGCAAATCCTAAATGAAAATGACAATATATATATATATATATATATATATATATATGTCAATATATATATATATGTCAATATATATATATAATATATGTATATATGTATACACACATATGAAATATATATCAATAAAGTTTTTAGTAAAATACATTATTTCACATTTTCTCAAAATATAAAAGCATCAGTAGCTTTGTGATCTATTTTGTTTGACCTATATGTAGGAAAAACCAAACCTATATACTCTGCACAGTTAACTATCAGAATCTCCAAATAGATTTTTTGACATATGGTAAACCCATATTTATAATTTCTAAATCAGAGGATACCAAATCTGTGCAACTGGAATGTGGTTAGTAAGAGAGGAAGAAAATGTAGAGTAGCAGGGGTTATCCTGGAATGTGCTAAATAGTCAAGAGGAGAAAAGAGGTATAGATTTGTGCTAATAAGCTGGGTCCTAAAGTATAAGGGTATGTGTAGAATCAAACAACATAAAGGGAAGGTCCCATGTTGTTAATACACTCAATAGCTGAGGGTTTAAATATAAGATACTGAAGAGAGGAAAACATAGATCCATCGTTGGCAGATGACTGCTGGCATTCTAGTGGTCAGAGTATCATATGTCTCTCATAAACTATGGATATGCTTACTTTACCTCTATTGCAATAACAAGTCATAAATATAACCTGATAATAAAATACAATTTTAAATATAGACTACCTCTATCAAGCATCTTTTAGAAAAAGGACAAGTAAAATCTCTTTAACAAGCATCATCTCAAAAAATAGTCATCATTTGTGAATGTTTCATCAATAGCATAAGTAGTGAAACTAAAACCTCTAAGTAGAATCTAAATATCAGAATTTGAAGAATAATGGAAGTATGTGGAAGAATAAAACAACCAATCAAAAAATCTATTGGAAAAAGGACAGATATGCAAAAATTATGGGGAAATAATTTAGAAAATAACATTAAATTACTTCAATAAAACAGACCTAATTGATAGTCATAAAAATAATAAAAATTCAATAGTCAAAGGAATTCTGCCTGTAGCCAACATAGAATACCAGAGACTGGATTCTCCCACCTGTTTGAAACAACACCCCCCCACCCCCCCACAAACGCAACCATAAAATAGAGGAAACAATAGATTTCCAGAGATCAGATATTAGGCAATGCAAGTGATTCCTAAGAGATGAGAACCAAATAAAGTAAGCCTTATAGTTGCCCAAACTTACCACCTTGAGAGTTTTCTGGCTGTTGTGTAGGTAAGGAAACCCAGGAAGAGCCTGGTAGTTTCCTTAAGTGGATGAGACAGAATGGAGAGTCAGGAAAGACCAACCAGACAGAGTTACAAGAGTGACTCCTAGAGTGGTGAGAGGAGCAGAAAAAAAGACTACAGACCTATAGAGGGTCTTCCTCAAATATTCAGAAGATTACTGATAAACTCATATCTGTGGGGAGAACTATTTGAAAGTGTTAGAGAGATATCAGAACTCATGAGGATAGATAATATTGCCTGTTCTCACAAGCCAGACAGGAAAATCTCAAAATTCATGGAGTATTTGGTAGAGTATTTGGATGCAACCTGCCTAAGTAGTGTGCAGCCCTAAACACTGCTCTGGTCCTGCTTAAGAAATATTAAAAAAAACCCAAATTATCAAATTGTTTCACCTAATTTAATTGTGCCCCAGTATAAAGCTCAAGAATATATATAAGAATACAAGGGTGTCCAGCGTAAATTAAGGTAAAATTCACTATATCTGGCTTCTTATAAAAAATTGCCAGAGATACAGAAGAGAGGAAAAATAACATATGAGAAGAAATCAATCAATCAATCAAAATTGGCCTATAATTGATACATATGTTAGAATTAGCAGATAAGGACATTAAAAGAGTCATTATAACTCCATTCCATATGTTAAAAAGTAGAGACATAGAAGATATAAAAAGTCACAAGTCACATTTCTAGAGATAAAACCAAAAATCTGAGACAAAAAATAAAATGAATGAAAATTTGATATGACAGAAAAAAATTGGTAAAGACACAGCAATAGATACTATCAAAAAGGAACATAGTATAAATCAAACAAAAGAACAGAGCATCAGTGAGCTGTGAGACATCAAGCACCATAATACACAAATGCAATTGGTGTCCCAAAAGGAAAGAAAGGAAGAAAAAATATGTGAGGGAATAATGTTACCAAAATTTCCAAATTTTACAGAAACCATAAACTCACAGATCCAAAAAGTTCAATGAAATCCAAATACAAGAAAAACAATATGTTAAAGACAACAAACCAAATTTCGTAAAATCCAAGGCAGAGAAAAATTTAAAGGCAAATAGAGATTTTTTTTTTTAAAAAAAGACATATTACATATAGTGAAAAAATATAAAAACAATAGACTTCTTGTCAGAAAAAAAATCAAATACCAAGACAATAGAACTGCTGAACAAACAATGGGTCAAAGAAAAAAAATCAAATGATAAATTAAAATAAAGCAAAATTGAAATAAAACATGCAAAAACCTATAGGACACAGCAAAAAGAGGTCTAAGAAGGAAAATTTATAGCAATGAATGCCTACATTAAGAAAAAGAAAGATCTTAAAAGAAAAAAAATAGAAAAAAGAAAGATCTTGAATAATTCAACCTTATACTTCAAAGAACTAGAAAAAGGAAAACAAAGCACAAGAGCAGGAGGAAAGACATAATAAAGATCAAAGCAGAAAAAAATGAGATAGAGACCAGAAAAATAATAGAAAAGATCAAGAAAACTAAGAACTAGCCTTTTGAAAGGATAAATAAAGTTTACAAGCCTTTAGTTAGACTAAGTAAAAAAGAAGACTCAAATAAATTAAGTGAAAAATGAAAAGGAGACATTACAAATGATGCCACAGAAATAAAAAGGATCATAAGGCTATTATGAAAACTTTTGTCAAAAAACTGGATGACCTAAAAGAACTAAATAAAGTCCTTGATATACATATCCCACCAAAAGTGAATCATGAAGAAAAAGAAAACCTGAACAGACCGATAATGTATAAGGGGACTGAAGCAATAATCAAGTCTCCCAACACAGAAAATCCTAACCAGATGATTTCACTGGTAAATATACTAAACATTTAAGAAAATTAATGCCTATCCTTCTAAAACTCTTCCAAAAACTGAAGAGCAGGGAACATTCCCAAACTCATTTTATGAGGCCAGTATTACCATAATATTAAATCCATATAAAGATACTACAAGAAAAGAAAATACAGGCTGCTATCATTGATGAATATACATGCAAAAACTCTCAACAAAATAGTAGCTAACCAAATTCAACAGTACATAAAAAAGAACATACACCATGATCAAGTGGGATTTATCCCTGGATTGTAAGGGTGGTTCAATATTTGCAAATCAATCAACATGATATGCCACTTTATTAAAAAATGATAAGAATCACATAATCTTTCAATAGATGCGTAAAAAAAACATTTGACAAAGTAGAACATCCATTCATGATAAAAGTCTTCAACAAAATAGGGTTAGACAGTACATACCAAACCTGATAGAGATAATATATGAAAAATGCACAGCTAATATCATTTTCAACGGGGAAAAACTGAAAATCATTACTTTATAGTCAGTAACAAGATAGGGGTGTCTACTCTCTCTACTGTTATATTTAGCATGTTACTGAAGTCCTGGCCATGGGAATCAGAAAACAAAATGAAATACAAAGCATCTAAATCTGCAAGGAAGAAGTCAGACTTCCACTATTTGCTGATGACATGATACTCTGTATGGAAAATCTAAAAGACTCCACCAAAAATTGCCAGAACTGATATATGAATTTAGTAAATCACAGAATACAAATTTAATACAAATAAATCTGTTCCTTTTCTGTACACCAATAATGAAAAAATAGAGGTAGAAATCAAGGAATCAATTTTATTTACAATTGCACCAAAGCCATTAAGATACCTAGGAATAAACCTAACCAAAGAAGTGAAAGATCTGTACTCTACAACTCTGAAAACTATGAAACACTGATGAAAAAAATTGAAGATGACACTAAGAGATGGAAAAACATTCCTTGCTAGTGGATTGAAAGAATAAATATTTTTTAAAATGTTCATACTACCCAAAGAAAACTACATATTCACTACAATCCCTATCAAAATACCATCAGCAATTTTCACTGAGCTAGAACAAACCATCCTAAAATTTGTATGGAACAAAAAAAAAAAATCCTGAATAGCCAAAGCTATTGTGAAAGTGAAGCAAAGCTGAAGGCATCACAGTTGTGGACTTCGATATATTATACTGCTACAGTGAGCAAGACAGTATGGTACTGGCAAAACAAAACAAAGCAAAGCAAAGCAAAGCAAAACAAAACAAAACAAAACAATCCAGACACATATATTAATGGAACAGAATAGAAAACCCAGAAATGAACCCATAACTATATGGAAAAAAGGACAATTTGTTCAACAAATGGTCTTGGGAAAACTGGACAGTGACAATGAGAAGAGGGAAACCGGAGTACTTTCTTCTACCATACACAAAAACAAATTCAAAATGAAAGAAAGACCTAAATGTGAGGCAGGAAACCATCAAAATCCTAGAGGAGAGCACAGACAGAAACCTCTTTGACATCAGCCACTGAAACTTCTTACTAGATATGTCTCCTGGGGCAAGGGAAACAAAAGCAAAAATAAATTATTGGGACTTTATCAAAATAAAAAGCTTATGCACAGTGAAGTAAATGATCAACAAAACTAAAAGGCATCCCATGGGGTAGGAGAAGATATTTGCAAATGATCTAAGAATCGACTCATATCCAAAATATGTAAAACACTTATAAAACTCAACACCCTAAAAGCAAACAATCCAATTAAAAATAGGCAGAAGGCATGACTAGAAATGTTTCCAAAGAAGACATTTAGATGGCCAAGACACATGAAAAAATGCTCAACATCACTGATTATCAGAGAAATACAAATCAAACTACAATGA